TGTGAACATAGAATTAAGTGTCTCCAAAATAAAAGTACTTGAAGTTCTTTTCTTCAAATACCCAACATTCTATGTTTTTCTTTTCCTTAACAACTTCTCGCTCCTGAACTTGAATCTGGCAAGTGCGGTGTCGATTTCTATGTAATTTTACTCGTAGTACTCGAATACTTGCTGGTAAATTTGATATAACTCACTAGGTAGGACAAAATTCGAAAATCAGGGCATTTTGAGGAAAATTAAGGATAAAAATGTGTAAATTCAACAAATGAAAGTAAAGATTCGTGATCTTTCATTTACGAGTTGTGGCGCCATCGCAACCAGCCAATCAGAGCGAAGCTCTTTGTGTCTTCCCGCGCTCCCACACATATAAATATGTACGGTCGCGAGATCTGAACACCATTCTCTTCCTGGTCCTCACAGACGCCCGACGCTCTAGCTCCAGCTCCCGACTGCTCTGCTCTCGCACCTGACTCTTCGAGCACTCCACGGACGCTCCACATCTTCGAAAAAGGCCCTTCTCAGGGCCACCACATTCTTAGCTGTAGCGTAGCCCTCAGAGTTAAGTGTGTATCATCAAAAAAGATCTGTGCAAAATTTCAAGCAAAAGTATGCATTTCCCTCCGAGGTACAGATTTTTGACCGCCTCATGGCGGTCCACTGTGCGGTTGCGCGAGACCCACTTTAACAGTGATGCGCACATGATGTGCAAATAGGATAAAGTTGGATTCTTTAAATTTGTATCCGCCGTATACCGCCAGTAATACCCGTTTCACAGGCAAACTCATCAAATTAGGCATTTTAGCAAATGCCTGAGCAGATAGTCTAATTTAGACAGTTCACGAAATTTTGTAAATGTAGGTGGTGAAGAGTTTAAGATTTTTTAAAAGTTTGGAAAAATAACTTCTCTAATCTACGAACTCTTTTTATCTTTTGTACTTCAAATTCTTCTCACACAAGTAAATATAAAAATTATAAAAATCCTGTATTTTAAAGTTCTCTGAAAATTTCAAGATAAACGTTCATTCAGGAGCTAAAATCGTTTAAAGTACGTTTGAATGATGGATAATTTTCCTTTTTTTTCACAGGAGCAATGAATTCATTTGTCTATAATTGAGAATACGATCCGTATTTCAATCTTAGTAAGAATATTTAACTAATTCCCTAGGCATTTGACAAAACGCCGGATTTTACTATTTGCCTCTGACGTACCCATAAATTACTTGATACCTTAGCCAATAAATAGACCACCAAATTTAACCACGATGGTCAAAAATCCACCATCATGGCCGTCCCTGGTAAAAACGGCGGATACCCCTCGGACAGAAATTCTTGGGCGTACGGACACCCAGTTGACCGTGCAAACACCCGATGTAGCCATGCGAACACCCGGCGTGGCCGTGCAGACACTTGTGATGGGCGTACGGACACCTCGATGGGGGTTCGGACACCTTATCAACAGTGAAACTGCAGACACGACAACATCTTGTTTGCAATGCGTTTCAAAATATCTGCTGCTACTTATTTTACTATTTAGAAATAGAGAGATAACCAATGCATCATTCCTTAAAATTTTTGAAGAATTTCTGCAGAAAGCAAAAAATCAAGGAAGTTGTCAAAAAACAGGTTTGCATATTTTTCAAATTAAAATAAATTTTTTCCATGAACGTCTAATGTGCGCCTATTCCAAACTGATATCTATTTTTGCAGTTCCACTATCAATATTCATTTAAGTTGCCTTTTTAATTTTTTCTTCTACATCCTTTTTGGTTTAATTTTTATAGACATAAGGCGCTGGTCTCTTGCTGGTGTATTAATTTATTCCTTGGATCACTTACTCTCCTCTTGGATTTTTCATTGTTTGGTCACCCTTCCGTACGTCGAATTTCTCTTATTTTATCACAAGACAATTTAAAGACACAGAATATCGATGACTTAAGTGGACCTTTAAAAGAAATGCTTCAGAATTGAATTTTTTTTGCAGTAGTTTAGTATTATTTTTTGGAGTAGTATGGGATCCTTTGCAAATATTTACATTTTCAAAATAAGAAAAAATACTACTATTGCTGAAAAAATTCTCTTTGTCCACTGGTTTAGATTACATTATGCCACACACCAGTAATAAAGTATTTAGATTTTCTACCATAATTTGACCCTAAAAGTTGTTCAAATTGTGTTATGATGTTCACAATGCAGGGATAGACTTCACCATACAGGGTGTACCAAAAGTCCGTCCCACCCCTGCTAATTTTTGAACGAATTGAGCTAGGGTATTGAAACTTTGGGAATGTTCCTATATCAATGGGGACCATCTTTTAGGGGGGTCAAAATTTTGGTCCCCCCTCAGGGGGGGGCCCAACTTTTTTTTCAAATGGCAACCCCTATCTTGCGATACCTCATTCAAAAGAGCATAAAACACTAAGAATTTTGGCGCAAACCGCAGATCAATATCTTAACTTTTGACCGAGTTATGATAGGTCAAAGGTCAAATTTGACCTTTTTTCAAAAAATCATAACTCCGGTTCAAATTATCGTAAAGAAAAAAATAAAACGAGAAAACTTACCAAATTGTGTCCACTTTTAAGTAAAAATTGCAGAAATCACTTCGATTTAATTTTAAGGGGGGGGGGGCTCGGACCCCCAAATACGTCAATTCAAAGGTCATTCAATTTTCCCGCGAAATAAGCCAATTTCCCCTAGATTTGCCTCCACATTATCTCAGTAAGGTCAAAATCAGTTCAACATTACGTTGGCGAGTCCCCAAATTTCGGGAAAAGTTAAAAAAACGAAATTTAAACGGTCAAATTTAATCACCTTAAATTTTGTTTTTATTTTAACTTTTCCCGAAATTTGGGGACTCGCCAACGTAATGTTGAACTGATTTTGACCTTACTGAGATAATGTGGAGGCAAATCTAGGGGAAATTGGCTTATTTCGCGGGAAAATTGAATGACCTTTGAATTGACGTATTTGGGGGTCCGAGCCCCCCCTTAAAATTAAATCGAAGTGATTTCTGCAATTTTTACTTAAAAGTGGACACAATTTGGTAAGTTTTCCCGTTTTATTTTTTTCTTTACAATAATTTGAACCGGAGTTATGATTTTTTGAAAATAGGTCAAATTTGACCTTTGACCTATCATACCTCGGTCAAAAGTTAAGATATTGATCTGCGGTTTGCGCCAAAATTCTTAGTGCTTTATGCTCTTTTGAATGAGGTATCACAAGATAGGGGTTGCCATTTGAAAAAAATGTTGGGGCCCCCCCGCGTCCCCCCTGAGGGGGAACCAAAATTTTGACCCCCCCCCCAAAAAGATGGTCCCCTTTGAGATAGGAACATTCCCAAAGTTTCAATACCCTAGCTCAATTCGTTCAAAAATTAGCAGGGGTGGGACGGACTTTTGGTACACCCTGTATATTTATACTCTTGCCGCCACAAATAGATTTCAAAATCCAAGGTACCTAGTAGAGAATTATTAATGTATTTTAATGGTATGTGGCATACAATGCTTCATAAACCAGTGGCACAATGCGATGGGGAGGCTTTTCTAAAGGGCGGCAGATACATTCCCTGTGGGCACGGGGGACACGCAGGAGTGGGCACGAGGGACACGCAGGGGTGGGCACGCGAGCGTTCCAAAAACGAATGCGCGGTGTCCGCAGGGTGTCCACCGTCTTCACCAGGGATCTCCTAGTCTGTGAAGTTAGTACCCCGACTTTTAAAATTTAAAATTTTCTCTTTTGCTCATCATTGCTCATCATTTGCTCACTCCAAAAATCGCTTTCATGTTTTTTGCTCAGGCTTGTACCCCCCAAAAATCGAACTTGAACTTTCAGAGAGGTCATTGACCCTAGCACCCCGACTTTGTCCGATTGACCTGAAAATGGTCTCAAACGACGCAGGATCATTTGCTCACCTTTGCTCAGCCCTTAGTTTTTGTTGTTCACCCCTCCATCCCCCTCAAAATGAAAGGCGGCATTTTGGGGGACATCAAAGGCAGCACCCCCACTTTGTCCGATTGATCTGAAAATGGTCTCAAACGACGCAGGATCATTTGCTCACCTTTGCTCAGCCCTTAATTTTCGTTGCTTACCTCCCCCATCCCCCCAAAAATGAAAGGCGGCATTTTGGGGGACATCAAAGGCAGCACACCCACTTTGTCCGATTGATCTGAAAATGGTCTCAAACGACGCAGGATCATTTGCTCACCTTTGCTCAGCCCTTAGTTTTCGTTGCTCACCTCCCATATCCCCCCAAAAAGAAAGGCGGCATTTTGGGGGACATCAAAGGCAGCACCCCCACTTTGTCCGATTGAGCTGAAATTGGTGTCAAACGACGCAGGATCATTTGCTCACCTTTGCTCAGCCCTTAATTTTCGTTGCTCACCTCCCCCATCCCCCCCAAAATGAAAAGCGGCATTTTGGCGCACATCAAAGGCAGCGCACCGACTATGTTCAACCGCCATTCGTTTTCAGGAGGAGGTAGGATTCGGGCTACGGAAACGAAGGCCTGAGCAAAGGTGAGCAAATGATCCTGCGTCGTTTGACACCAATTTCAGATCAATCGGACAAAGTGGGGGTGCTGCCTTTGATGTCCCCCAAAATGCCGCCTTTCATTTTGAGGGGGATGGAGGGGTGAACAACAAAAACTAAGGGCTGAGCAAAGGTGAGCAAATGATCCTGCGTCGTTTGAGACCTTTTTCAGGTCAATCGGACAAAGTGGGGGTGCTAGGGTCAATGACCTCTCTGAAAGTTCAAGTTCGATTTTTGGGGGGTACAAGCCTGAGCAAAAAACATGAAAGCGATTTTTGGAGTGAGCAAATGATGAGCAATGATGAGCAAAAGAGAAAATTTTAAATTTTAAAAGTCGGGGTACTAACTTCACAGACATGGGATCTCCAATATTTTTGTTTTGAATAGAAATGGTATGATATTTTTCGATCACATAATTATGTGCACGCAGGTCAATTGGTTTTACCAGTTTTACCAGAAGGAATCATAGGTACCTTTCTCCAAACTTGCGTCCTCCAAGCGGCGAGACCCTTCCACTCTGATCGACATTATCGTAGCCGCCGCGGTCCTCCTGAGCTCTGAACTGGGATGCGAGTCGGTGGTCGCTCTTGGATCGCATAAGCCCTGGCCCGGGAGGCTGGAGCATGTTACTACCGACCGCAGGAGAGCTGGTGTTGAACCCTACCAGCGGTTGATGAGGCATGTGGATGGTGAGCTCGCCGTAGCCGGCAACGTGGAGAACCAGTTGGTTGGGGTCGTGAGCCATGGCGAAGCGTACTCGGCGGTTATAGTCGCCAGTCTCCGCCTCAAAATTCCGAATGAAGTCAATCGTCTTCAGGAAAATTTCTTTAGCATCCATGAGCTCGCAGTCATCCCACTCAACTTCTTCCGACTGCATCTCCTTGTTGGCCAGGTCGCAGTTCGCCTGGATGTTGGAAATCTCTTGTTGCAGGTTTTCTTTTAGCGTAGAAAGATTCTTCAGCTCCGTCGTCAGATACCGATCAATCTCCCCACGTAGGTACTCAGTGCGATCCTTGAGTGCCTTTGCCAGTCGTTTGTATATCTCATCTACTTCCTCTGACACCGAGGTACAGTTTAATTGTAGCGCAAGCATGTTTTTTTCTACGACAGCTAGAATGTCTTGTAATCGATGCATCGCTCTTCTAACCTGTAACAGACGTAGGTACGTTCAAAATCAGAGAATGCATTTAAAAGTTAAAGTAAACAGTTTACAGCAGTTTTTTTTTTTTTTTTTTTTTTTTTTTTTTTTTTTTTTTTTTTTNTTTTTTTTTTTTTTTTTTTTTTTTGCAGGTTTAATGGCTTAAACCTCTCATCAGAGGGCTACAGCCAACTATAGGGAGAGATTTAATGTCCGTAGACAACAGGGCGATAGGGACATCCATGCTTCGGCTTTCAAATTTTCAGGGATTAAGGCCGAGTAGAATTATCTGTTTCTGCAGATCCTCACGTCAGTTTCGTGAAAATTTGTCGCCACCACCGGGATTCGAACCCGGAACCTATTGGTCTAGAGTCAGACGCGCTGACCGCTAGGCCAACCTGGCCGGCTATTTACAGAAGTTCATTTTGGGGACTTGATGCTGTTTAAATGGAGTGGCACATTTGTTTTCACCTTAATCGATGGTCAATTAATGTTCCACCTAGCTCTTTATCTGAGGGTTGTCGTGCCGAATCTTGTTTTTTATGATGTTTACAAACATTTAGGTAAGCGAAGGTCAAACAAAGATCAAGAGCTAGAGAAGTTTGATTTCACTGGAAACTTTCTCCTAACAATTCATTCCACACTTTCAAATTGATAGAATAAAAAAGCACGTCAAATTTAAAAAATATCTCTTATCCATTCCAGAGTAAATTAACATCGTAAAACGAAATCGTGCACGGTTGAAACCTAAGTCAGTTCCTTTGTCTCACATAGGTACCTTCAATCATCTTGAAATTTATAGAGATATGTACATTGCCAAAAGCCAAGAGATAGTGTATAATTTCGAATTTTGTTACGAAGGAAAAGAATATTGATTAAAGTAGAGGTGTGTGGTGTCCAAAAAGTTGGGTACCGAACCGGACCTCGATATCTTTCTTCGTTCGAGAGATATCGAGGTTCACAGGTTTTGCCTTCCCCCCCCCCGCCACCCAAAACAATTGTTGGGGGTCAGAAAATTTGGGAAAAGAAGCGCTCAAGTATGAGTAGTCAATAGACAAAGTTTTAAGAAATTCCAGATAGGGGGGGGGTGGAAAAAGCCGTTTTTGCATCAAGCTCTTTATTAGACACCCTGTGTTGATACTGAAAGTTTAAACATTTGTAAAAAGCAAGTCCATACTACAAGTGTTGAAGGATACATTTCAAAAGATCCATCGATTTTTCATTGTTTGACGCACGGTGTCTCCAGATACACAAAAATCGTGAAAAATACCTCCATTATGACCGGTTTTTCACTCTCACCCTGTAATGACAGTAACGGTCGAAACCTCTGCTGAAAGTAAGTTCACACCATCATCGTGCAATAAAAAATCTACCTGGTTCCTATTTCTTACATTCCTTGTTCCGCGGTGCCCACAATCACATCGGAAACGTCAAAAATACATCAATTCGGCCTATTTTTCGCTTGCGAAATTTTTTTGGCTATGACACCAGCGACTCATGTAACAAGCGAATATATGTGATACAACGGAATGGAACGGCAATTTTTCAAAGGACCTTGAATTTTTTATTGCTGTTGTCAAAGAGTGTAGCGAAAACTTCAAAAATATCTATGTTTCTTTCCGTACTTGCTTCTTGCATAATTTCGGACCTCCGCATGTCAGTACAGGGTGTCTACAAAAAAAATCGGAAAATAAAATGGGCCGAATTGATGTATTTTTGACGCTTTCGATGTGATTGCGGGCACCACGCAACAAGGAATGTGAGACATAGGAACCAAGTAGATTTTCTATTGCACGGATAGATTGTGTGAACTTACTTTCAGCAGAGGTTTCGACCGTCACTGTCATTACAGGCAGTGGCGTGGCGTCCATAGGTTCGCAGTGTTCGCCGAACACCCTAAAATATTTTGAAACAATTAATAAATTATGGCTAAGAATGTGGGAAGCAACACAGAATACAGAATAGTAGATCGCAAATAAGTATCGGGCGCTTGGCTTCCGACAGCGGCATGTGGCGCGGCGGAGAGAGAAAATCCAGTGACGCGTGGTCCGCACCAGCTACCAAACCTGGATGATCTGCGCACGGTGAGGAGAGAGAACCTGGGTGCAATGATGAAGGGGCAAAGGGTACACGAGAGAGGAGAGGCACCGGCGCGCGGCGCAGAGCGGAGCGTGAGCATTGGGTTCGGAGACGAGTGCGGACCGCGCTCGCGGAGGTAACACAGCAGAGAGAAAAGGGAGGGGAAAAGAACGAGAGAGGAGAGCCGCTCATCAGTCCAGCTGTTTCCTATAGCAGGGGTTTGCGAACCGCCGAATTTCCTCTATGCCGCGATTCGCCCTCCGCCCCCCCCCCCCCCCCCCCCCNCCCCGCGCCTGCGGGCCGCATCTCCCAGTTTCACAGTCTCCCTCTCCCACCTCTCTCTGCAGGTGCGTGTTGCGTTATCATTTAACAAAATAAATACAGGAAAACGATCGGTAAAAAGAACAAAGTTTCTATGACAATTTACCGGCACAATTTTCACTAGAAAGGGTTAAAATCGTGTTCTTGCGGCTTCATTTTTTAAAAAGTTTCCGGGGGAGGCCCCCCGAACCCCCCTTTAAGGAAGGGGATTGAACCTTTCTGACCCCCCCTCCCCCCTAAAGTTAACACTCCTACCGAACGCCTACCAGATAAAGACACGCCACGCCACTGATTACAGGGGGTCTATTAAATGTTGAGAACAAAAAACCGGTCATAATAATGGTATTTTTCACGATTTTTAGTGTATTTTCCGAAGGAAATACACTATTGCGTTCTCCCCTGATGTCAGACCTGGACCAAAGACCATGTAATGAGCATCGATCATGGGTCGTAGATTACGAAAATGCATGCCGTTTGAATTCATATATATATATATATATATATTTATATATCTGTTTATTTATGTATGTATTTCCGACTCATCGTGGTTTTTTCGATTTTTGCTTGGTTATATTTCCCTCATTTTAAAAAATTTCCGAGTGAAACTTTTTGCGATGTAAAGTAAAGGAACAGGACTACCATTCTGCGAAAAAAAAAAACGGAGATCGAAGTATTACATTTCGAATGGTGGGGGCGAGAAGTGGGGGGAGGTTCAATTTTGTGGGCGCGATAACTCGCGCAAATTAAAAGCTTTTCCCCCGAAATTTTTACATAAGGAAGATCTTACTTAGTTCTAGGCTGGTATTGAATTTGAGCGAAATCGGTCGAGCCGTTTAAAAATGGCGAGCTTTGAAAGTTTTAGGCGGGGAGTGTGCGGCAAAAGAGGAGGGCATTCGCACAGTGGGTCACGACCTAACAATTGGTGGACAAGACGGCAATGTTGTCGCACAGTGGGTCACGAACTGAAAGTTGGTGGACAAGACGGCAATGTTGTCGCACAGTGGGTCAGGAACTGAAAATTGGTGGAGAAGACGGCAATGTTGTCGTACAATGGGTCACGAACTGATGAACTGATAATTTGTGGACACGATGGCTATATTGTCGCACAGTGGGTTACAGACTGATGATTGGTGGACAAGACGGCAACGTTGTCGCACAGTGGGTTATGGAGATTTATCCACCGTCATTCAAGCTTGCCACAGCGTTTGTTGACATTTTTTCATATCAGACATTACATGAGGATTGTTGTTGCAATCTGGCGACATGAAGTCCTTATTCGAATAATCAATGCCTCCATAAGTGTAAACGTAAATCCAACCTCCAAAGATTGATAACTCCCCGCCCCCGCCCCTCCCTTCGGAAAATACACTCTTCCCGCGGTGGACGCGCGGGTCACTTAAAAGACAGAACAACTGAGGCCGGACACTGAAACTAAAAAACGCGCGCGAAGCGCGCGTCCTGGGGGGGCATGGGGGAGGGGGCTAGGCCCCCCCAAAAACCGGCGCGGAGCGCAGCGGAGCGCCGGTTTTTTTGTGTATCTGGAGACACCGCGCGTCAAACAATGAAAAGTCTATGGATCTTTTGAAATGTATCCTTCAACACTTGTAGTATGGACTTGCTTTCTACAAATGTTTGAACTTTCAGTGTCAATTAATACAGGGTGTCTATTAAATTTTGCAATTGAAAAAACAGCCGATTTGAGGTATTGTTGACGTTTTCGAAGTGATTGCGGGCACCGCACAACGAGGCATGTAAAACATAGGAACCAAACAGAATTTTTTATTCCTTACGAAGGGTATGAACCTACTTTGCACAAATTCTTGGACCTCCACCGCCAGTACAAAGTGTTTGAAAAAGTTTTAAAAAAACAGCCAAGTTAAGGTATTTTTGACGTTTTTGCTGCCGTTTTGGGCATCGCAGGACGAAGAATGTAAGACGTAGGAATAAAGTAAATTTTTTTATTCCATACAGACGGTATGAGCTTACCTTCCACATATTTTTGGACTTACAGCAGAGTATTCGAGTAGCAAGAGCTTTTTTTTCACGACTACCGCGAGAACGACAATACTGGGTCAGTTTTAACCCGTCTCCCATTTCCGGCGAAATTTCTTTTTTTTTTTCTTCTTCTTTTTTTTTTTTTTTCAAAGACCCATGATGATGCTGCTATCATCCCTGAGGTAAAATTGAAACCAGAGATCATCCTATATAAAATAACAAAACTAAAACAGGGGTTGATACGATTGCTCAAATGGTCAGGAGCTATGCAGCGAGACGACCGACGCGACGGTGGCCATTTGCATTTTTCATGAATATGCTGAATGTTGGCTAATCTAAACTTAGGGGGAAAAAGAAAATATTAGGCCTATAAGTCTAATTTTAGGTTTCCCTGGTGTAAAACATCATTTGCATTAAAAAACATTAAGGTGCATGCATTAAAAAACTAATAAAAAAGAAGATCCTATGTATTTTAAATACGGGTCTAAACTGACCCGGTATTGGCAAACTAGTGGAAAAAACTTGTTTGGCAGACTAGGGTTGAGGACAGTGCAATACGCAGGAGGGTACCCAACGCTGCTTGCTATTACACAAAAATCGGTCCTTCACACCAGTTTCATGCGTTTGTCGGCCTGGAAGCATGGATTTCATACCAAAATTCTGTGCGATGCCTCCATCAATTGGTCGTGATTTTGATAAAGAGAATCCCCCACGTTATAGGGGGTATAATGTGTAATTTTTGAGCAGCTCCCATCGTAACTGACCTCATATTACTGTATACCATAGATCGGTCGATAGCATCCCCAGTAAGATTTTTTTTCCCCCACAAAAAAGAGATAAATTTTAACCCTTTTTTTACATAAAAAGCCGTAAATATTGATACAAAAGATGTAATATTTATCCCATGGTTGACGTCCCTTCGAACGCTTTCACGTTAAAAAAAAGTAAATTCATATACATGTCTGTCCTTTTTACGTAAAAATGTCTCTAGGGCATTAACCATGGGATCAATTTTACATCTTTTTTTATCGATTTTTTTCTCACGCCTGTAAAAATTACGAGAAAAATATTGTAAATTACGAAACAATTTATGTACGTAAAAAATATATTAAAAATAACGTAAATTATACTTCAGAAAAAAAATCTTGGTAAGTCAAGTTTTTACATAAATGTCACTTAAAATTCATATCGAAAAATTTAAAAAGAAAAAAAAATTATTTTTGCGAGGCTAAATAATTTTAGCATAAATTTTTCATAAAAATTAAATGAATTTTTTCCGGCGACAACTTGAGACTTTTTTAACATAATTTTCATCATTGTGCAAAAAGAACGTGAAAAAAACAAATAAAAATTATCTCGCTCATTTTTTTTCCTTTACTTAAAATACATAGAAAGACATATTAATTCCTTCAACGCTCACCACTCGAAAATATTTGTTTACATTATTTACACTTGAAAATTACATAAAAAGAATGCAACGAATCAATCAATTTTTTTTACATTAAATTCATATAAATTTTAGATGAAAATTTTTTAACGCTCCCGCAATAAAGTTTTGATTATTTGTTTTCAAATTTTTTACAATTTTATTTTCAATTTCTTATAAGTTGGTTATTGATTTTTCATCATTTCATCTTTATTTTTTTTTACATCTTTGGTTATAATTCTTGGTTTTGCATTTTGTTTTTCTTACTTTCATTTTTAAGGAAACATAACTTGTAAAACTTCACTTACATTTTAAGTGGTTAAAAAATAAAAATAAAAAATTAAGTGTAGATTCAAATTCAACACAAAATCATTTTCGTCCAAATCGCGACTTCATAGCTCAATTTTAAAGCCACTTACGGAATTTTCTCGTTTCCAACTTGGCAACGCTGTAGCGCGCGGGAAAAATTTTGGGTGAACTTGCCCATGCCGGAAAAAGGCGTGTCTTGTGATAAAGAACAACATGTCCAACTCCAGGCAAAATCCATGAGGGGGGCAAAATCGCCGATTTTGAATAACCCTCTTTGAATAAATTCCAAAGGGAGGGGGACGAAAAAACCCATTTTTGTTTGAAGATTTTTGAATCTTCGAAAGTCGAGGCTCCACCATGCCTAGGAATGGGGATGTTGCATGAGTGAGATATTTAAGAATCTATATATTTAATATCCTAAGGCTTTTTTTTTTGTCCTTCTTCAGTTTGTGCTAATTTGATCTCGGAAACTCCTGGACCGATCTTCCTCGGATTTGTTTTAAATGAAAGCTCTTAGGCTGTAGATGTGCCAACATCCCTCGGTCATCCGATTTGCGCGACCGATGTCGCAAAATTTACCTCGATTGATGACGAAATATTTGCGTTTTTGCCGCTGGACAGTTTATGCTAATTCGATCTCAGAAACTACTGGACCGATTTTCCTCGGATTTGTTTTAAATGAAAGCTCTTAGGCTGTAGACGTGCCAACATCCCTCGGTTTTTCGATTTGCACGACCGACGTTGCAAATTTTACCTCGATTTGATAACGACATATTTGCATTTTTGACGCTGGACAGTTTCTGTTAATTCAATCTCGGAAACTACTGGACCGATTTTCCTCGGATTTGTTTTAAATGAAAGCTCTTAGGCTGTAGACGTGCCAACATCCCTTGGTTTTTCGATTTGCGCGACCGATATTGCAAAATTTACCTCGATTTGATAACGACATATTTGCTTTTTTTGACGCTGGACGAGTCATGTGGTTGGGGGACCTCCCACCCTCTGATTTTCCGTTTCCCTCTCCACGTAAACCCATCCCTACCTGCTCACAACACGTGTCACCCTTCTACTCTGGCATGGGTCCCTTTCTTATGCTGTCTGACTCAGAACACCTGCTACGCATTTCCTCCGTCGCATTGCTCATAATTAGTTCTCGGTTTGTCCAGGTTTCTTATTAGTGCGTCTAGAGTTTGGCTTTCTTGATTTTGTCTTTAGTTTTTTTTTTTTACATTAAAATTACTTAATTTGTAGGTGTATTTTTCAGAAGATAATTTTTCTTTTTACGGCAGCACAGGTTTTATTAATAATTAAGTTTTCTACAGCTGCTCATGTGTTCTTCCAAGAGCATTGGTGATTTATCTTCACCCTTTCGCACCGTTACATTTTCACGAAGTGTTCTGATTTTCTTTTTCAGAAGTGTTATTTATTTTTCAAGGTTATTTCTTTTTCTAAAAGTAGGTGATTTCAAGTTTCTTATTCTTTGTTTTTGAATTTATCAATTTGCCTCCAGGAAGTCCACTAATTATTCGTAGTAGCAATATTTGGCTGGCGAAGCGAGCCAACATTCACTCGCGGAGCGAGTGACTGGGGGTCCAGGGGGCGAAGCTACCGGCAAGCGGCGCAAGCGAGCGTAGCAAGCTGAAGCAGCTAGTAAAAAGTTATGTTGCCATGGATCTTTGTGCAAGAAAAATGATGGTAGGTAACATTTAAAAAGTCGAAACTCGAGTTCTGCAGCCCAAAGAAGCTCAATTAAAGTTTCATTAAATTCAAATTGAAAATAAACGATTTTCATTGGCTGCCGTACAATTTGTCACTCTACATCAAAGAGCGACTCCCCCGTCCCGTTTAGAATACGGGACAGGACAAATTTTATCTGCATTCTCGTCCTAGAAATCGTCGTGAAGGGCCAAAAAATGGGTCTACAAGTGATTTGCCATATCTTCAGGTATCCATCGTGATAAAAAAAAAGGTGAGCTTGTCAAATAACTCGATTTTCCCCGATTTAAAAAAAAAAAAAAAAAAAAACTCATACTTATAAGCAGAAAGTTAGATAGCAAAACCCTGCGGCTTTGCGATGTGACGTCAGACTAACGTGATTGCGAGACGTGGGAAGGAACCTTTCAAATTGCCTCTGAACTTCCGGGAATTTTTCTCTATGTTCCCATCATCAGAAAATGTTTAAGAAAAAGACCTCTACAATCAGCACACCTCCAAGTTGAGGAAACCGAATTTAAAGGACAAAAAAAGTCATGCAACAACCCCATTAAATGATTTTTTTTTGTCACTAATTTACAATGCCTGATTGTTTACGAGCTTATTTTGACTCAAATGCCCTCCTCCTTTGTATACGTAGGTAAACGAAGGAAAACCAAAATCACATCACCATACACGAAACTTGATCAAACTGACCATGTTTGCTGTTTGATAAAAACTGCAATTAAATTACCTGATTATTGATTCGTGATATTTCTCTCCTTAATATGTCCATGTGAGCGCCTTTGCAGTCGGTGCATATTTCTTTATCACAGTGCACGCATATTGTAACGTATGCTTTCTCTGAGCAAACCCCACATCGTTTCATTGTCTGTCCGCTTGTGGGGTCCGGCAGCTCTCCTGTGATCTCTATGTGGAGTTCTAGAAATCTCTGGAGGGTCACGTTTGTGGGGTAGCCCTGAACTCCTTGGTATGGGATGCGATGTTCTGCACGACATTCTGGGCATTTTACCTGCAAAATAAAAGGACAAATGGAAAATAAAGGGTGTAAATTTGGATGGACACGATTGTGTTGCTAAGATTACTCGGCTGTTGGTCATGACAGCAATTTCATAACTTTAATTTTAACAAATGATTGTTATGTTAATTTGACATTTTGCTAAAATTTTATCACAGCATCAGCTCAATACTCGAATGAAATCAAAACCACAAGCAGAGATAATATGATTAGTGGATAGGTACTCTTTTTACATCACACGGTAAGCAACCAAAACTTCCTTCAGCTCTTAGGGTTATATTGTTTAAGAGGTGTTAAATGGGCATCATTTACCTACTATTAGGATACTTCTGAAGGTGTCCTGTGATAGAGGGTGGATAAGTGCGAGAAATAAATAACAATTATTTCGAGCGTGAAATACGTGGGAGACTATAATGTATCGCAAAAGGGCTACATGCAAGATGAACAACGAGAACATAGAATGATACAAGATGGCAAGTGGAATCTGGCCAATCAGAGAGCGGCATGAGGCTACCAACCTGAGAAAGTAGAATTACCCTACTTCAATACTCCCCCTTAATTCTACTTTAGTGGAATTACAAGTAATTGTTTACCCAATTACCTAATTGCTTTAGGTGAATTACCTTACAAAATTTAGTGAGAAAAAAAATAAAGTAAGAAATGTTCACAAATAAATGAACTTTGGAACAAAGATGACGTTTTTGAACGTCTTTTCTAAGATAACAAAGAATGAAAATGCATGTAATAACAATATTAAGAAATTGCTTACATTTAACATAGGCAAAATAGATAGCACAAAATAAGAGACTTAGCATTATGGGGCTTCATTGACACCCAACAGAGCTCTGAGGTAAAGGAAAGTTTTCTTCACCAGGGCTTTTGTCATGAGATCAGCAATTTGCTCACTGGATGGAATGTGGACCAATTTTAATTTGTCCTGAGCGATGAGCTCGCGGATAAAATGATGTTTGACATCAATGTGTTTAGAACGTTTTGTTTCTAAAGTTGGAGCAATTTTTAAAGCCGACTGGTTGCCTTCATACACAGTAATTGGGTCTAATTTGGACGTATAATCAAACGCATACTCAATTAGATATTTTAAGAACAGACATTCAGTAATACATACGGCAAGAGCGACATATTCAGATTCTGCTGTGGACAGAGCTTGCGTTACTTGTTTTTTGGACTTCCAAGCAACTAAATTACCATTAAACATGATGGCAAATCCTGAGATACTTTTTCTGTCATTTATATCAGAGCCAAAGTCTGCATCAGAGTAAGCAACTAAATCAAAAACATCTAAATTTCGTTTTTTAAAGGTAAGGCCCAAATTTTTGGTTCCATTTACATAACGTAAAACATTTTTTAAATGATTCCAATGGGTTTCGGTATAGCATGTCTGAAATAGGCTGAAATAGGATACGGCATAGCACAGATCTGCACGAGTTCCCATCATTATGTACATTATAACTGCCAATTAATTCCCTATAGGGTACATTAGAGTCAGGATTCGAATCTATTTCTAAATTCAAACCAGGAGAAATTGGAATATCTTTGGGATTGGAATTTTTCATATTGAAACGTTTCAAAATTTTTTTAGCTAAACTTTTCTGGGACACAAAAATACAGTCTTTCGTTCTTTCAATTTTTAAACCAAGAAATGTGAAATGAGTGGGGTGAGTTAAATATTTCATTACAAATCGGTCACTGAATAATTTCTTAACCCGTTTAATTTCAGTTCTGATCTTACTGAATGGTAAAATATCATCGACCCATACAAGTAAATACAGTTTATCATTAGAATAAAGGCAAGGGTCAGATTTGCTTCCAGTTAAGCCGATTTTTTCAGTAATAAAAATATGAAGACAGTCATACCAATATTTTGACCCATGTCGTAGACCATAGAGTAACTTTTTGAGGAGGCATATAGAGTCTTTAGCACAATTGAAACCAGCTGGGGGCTTCATATAAACAGTCGTTTTGGGTATTCCGTTCAGGAAAGCAGATTTCATGTCCAGTTGGTGGATTTCCAGGTCTCTCTCAACGGCAACAGCTAACAGGATACGGAAAGTGGGCATCCTTGCGACGGGGGCATAGAGATCCTCGTCCGGCTGGTCGTCCTGCAAAAATCCTCTTGCGACTAATCTAGCTTTCTTCACTTCTACGCCACAAACAGTTTTCTTAGCGAAGACCCACTTAGAGTCAATGACTCTTGCTTGAGGTGGAACTGATGATCTTGGAATGATGGTCCAGGTTTCATTACGTTCATGGTTTGAGAATTCTTCTTGGATTTCAGGTTCTCATCCAGATGCGATTGCTTCATTGTAGGACGAAGGAATTTCTGATGGTAGATTTCCAGCTGAAAGTGCAATACTAAGACTGGTTTCGTAGTCAGCAAGTTTTGCTGGGGGCTTACGAGGTCGATCACCTCTACGCAACGCTTCAATTTGAGGGTTTTCATTATGGAAAGGTTGATTTTCAGGTTCTATGATTTCATTGGAAATTATTAAGGGTTCGATTTTGGTTGGCTTGTAACTTTGTGTCTCAACAAATCGAACGGACCGAGAAATTACCACTCTTCGCTTGAGAGGGTCCCACAATCGATAACCATTTGCTGTGTAGCCAATCATTATCATGGGTTCAGCCCTATCTGCTAGGTACTTTACCATTACGGTCTTCTTTAGGCACATGAGTATAAGTCATAGATCCGAACACTTTCATATTCTCGATGCTAACATTCCTCCCTAACCACAAGTCAGCTGGGACGCGAGAATTTAGTGCTGAGGAAGGCAGGCGATTAATTGTATAAACTGCTGTTCGGACTGCTTCTCCCCACAAGTCTTAACTCACATAAACTGTTTCAGCAAACAACGAGCCATATTTAGGATGGATTGATTGAGACGTTCTGAGACCCCATTCAGCTCTGGGTTTCTGGCTACTGTGTAATCCAGTTGAATTCCCTGCTTTTTGCAATATTCAATATTCCATCAGCTGGTTACTGCCATACTCGCCACCATTATCACATCGAAAATGGGAGATTCTCGTCGAAAAATGGGATTTCACGAGAGCTTCATACTCAAGAAACTTGTCATACACCTCGTCTTTAGTCTTTAGAAGATAGACATGAGTAAAACGTGTGAAGTGGTCTGTAAAAGTAACATAATACCTGGAGCCATCATGGGTTGGCGGAGAAATTGGCCCACACACATCTGAGCTTACGACTTCCAAGATTCTCTTCGGTTCCTTAGCTTCTGGCGTAGGTTTGAAGTTTGTACGTGTCATCTTGGATCTTACACAAACATCACAAACAGGATCAGTGCTAGGAAAATGCGATGAGTGGCCCATCCGTTGATGAAGCAACTGCTTTGTGCAAGCCTTGGCTAGATTGACAGAACCTCTAAGTTTCACACAGACAAGGTACAGGTTTCCTTGCCTTATGCGTTTCAGAAAAACTTTACCGTCTTTAATGAATTCCACTTTTCCTTCGTTAAAAACTACTTGGCAACCTTTTTTTTCAATTTTCGGAACTGAGAGCAAGTTAAATTCTAGATCCTTGCACAGTAAAACATCTTTAATTCTCAAATTGCAAAAATTACCTTCAACAAGGAGTGTACCACGTTTACTGGCATGGATGCTGTGGTCTTTCTTCGCAACTGCCAAGTTGAAGTCAACACTTTCTAAATTAACAAGATGCTGTTCAAGACCAGCACTCACTCAGTGGTTGGTCGCTCCGCTATCAACGACAAACTTGGTCTCATAAAGATCATCAGCTAGAAACGCAGCACAATCTTCATCATCACATTGCAATTTGGTAATGATCGCTATTTCTTGCTCCGTTTGCTCTGAGCATACATAGATTTTCTTCTGCTTTTCCCTTTCGATTCTCTCACGGCAACCAGATTTTTTATGACCCTTCTTGTTACAAAAATGGCATTTATAGAGGAAGGGGGTTGCCGACTGGTTGCCGGTTGATGAACTGCTGTTCTGGTGATTAGAGTTCAAATTTTTACCTCGCTGTTTCCGGAATTTCTTTCCTCTGTCTTTCGCATTATCAGAGTAAAATACTACAGATTCGTTACTTTCAGCAGAAGCATTGCCTTTCTGGTTAAGTTCTTCTTGCAGCAAACGGCTTTTGACAAAGTCTAGTGATACACCTGAAGGATCTTTAGCAAATATTACATCGATGGATGCTGTCACTGCCGCGTATGATTTTAGCATGGACATTAATAGCAACGAAATGATTTCCTCGTCATCAAGAACGGCTCCAGTACCTTTTAATTCTAAAAGTTTGCTGAAAAACTTTTCAAGAAATTCGGACAGTTTACCTTTGATAAATTTCATCCCGGTCAGCTCCCGCTTCAAACAAATCCTAGAGGCTGGGTTTTTTCGCGTGTAGACAGCTTCGAGGGCTTCCATCATTTCTTTACTGGACGACTTTCCTCTTACCGTGTCTATGACGGTGTCTGCCAAAGATTGGACTATGATGTCCTGTGCCTTAACGTCCAGTAGCTCGTACTGGTACTGAGTCATGGTGGTTTCCTTCTCAAACAACGCCTCCCTGCAACCTTCTCTTCCCAAACGACCTTCCACTCTGAACTTCCATGCATCAAAACCGGTGCCGTCAAATGGCTTCACGAAATTATGGTATGACACTGCCATTACTTCCACACACACCGTTTTCCTTGATCACAGATTCCAGGACGTTTCACTAACTGGGGAAGAATGAAACCGAACACGAGGAGACGAGGTTAGAACGCCATCACGGGACCGGCACTAGTACAGCCACTTTTTACGCGATCATACCGACTGTCAAAGCTTCTGCATTTCTGCACACTATCAAAGCGGACGGCCCATAACCTGATGGAGGGTAGATAAGTGCGAGAAATAAATAACAATTATTTTGAGCGTGAAATTCGTGGGAGACTGTAATGTATCGCAAAAGGGCTACATGCAAGATGAACAACGAGAACATAGAATGATACAAGAGGGCAAGTGGGAGCCGACCAATCAGAGAACGGCATGAGGCTACCAACCTGAGAAAGTAGAATTACCCTACTTCAATATTCTGTACGTACCCTGCAGGAACCTGATGCCAGCTCTAAAGAGTGCGTCCCTAGGATGATATACATACTAAGTCCGGTCCACCCCCTCTTCAAGTTTATACCTAATTCATATCTTGAAATGAAACTTTAAGCAAAGATCAGTGTGCGCTCCTTCTAAAAGTAGCTTACAGATATAGGTACAGAGCTGATTTCGGCAGAGGCTGCGGACCCTACATTCCTTCTCAAAAGGCGACCTCCCTCCTCTCTATGATAGGGTAGGTGGGGGTAAAAGGCCGCACGGGGAAAATGGCCGCACGAGGAAAAAGGCCGCACCCGACTTTTTTCCCGATTATTTTTTAGGTTGGCACCGGGACCGTGTCAGTTATGTTGGTAGTGGTGGTGGTGTTGTTGTGTTGACGAAGTTTCGGACCGAACGGACGCGTTCCCTCGAAAATATGGGGAGAATTTATTTTTCGTGAAAAAAAATCGATTTTTCCGGTTTTATTTTGCTCAATTTCAACTTCTATAATTGATAGAAAAATTCGGACGAACTACAGTTCGAACAATGATGAGGATGGTTTGAATATCCCGCTGTCAGTTTTGAGCTAATGGCCTTGTCTTTGAATTTTGAGGTTATGGTTATCTACGTCATCAAATGGGGCAAAAAGCCGCAGGTCCGATGGGGCAAAAGGCCGCACGCCGCCTTCACTAAAATAGCACTAATACTTATAATCTATCAACTAACACTACCAATACTAAATCTTTTACTACATATTTTACCAAATATTATTAAATAATTACCGAAGATCCTAAAATGTAGGGTAGGTGGAGGCAAAAGGTCACACTTTTCCGTTGCGGCCGTCTGTCAGCCGCCGTATCGCATGGAAATTCTGGAAATGTGGTAAAATATCAACTATAGACCCTTAGGCATGAAATGGCACACTTTCCAGAATTTTGATGCATTTCAGAAATTTTTACGAACTTTTCCGGAAGTGCGGCCTCTTTCTCCATTTGTAGGGCAAAAGGCCGCACTTACGAAATTTTTGAAAAAAAATCATAAAAAATTCGAAAATGCTTTTAAAATTCTGGAAAGCGTGCCATTTTGTGCCTAAGGGTCTTCAGCACATATTTTACCACATTCCAGAAATTTTCACGCGATACGGCGGCTGACAGACGGCCGAAACGGAAAAATGCGGCCTTTTACCCCCACCTACCCTACCTTAATCGCAAGAGAATAAAAAAGAAAAAAATGTGCTCAAACCGCAGGTGGTCATTTTGAATTTTGATGTTGGCTACTCAAACTTCAAAGTATGGAAAATTAAAATCTCCAAGGATTTGAATGAGACTTGGTACCCCTAGATTTTTTGGCACGAGAAAACCAAATTCGGCATTAATAGTTTCTTGAAAGAGCCCTTTTCTTCAAAATAGCGGCCATAAAAATGGCGATTAACGGAAAAACTACAAATATGTATCTAAATTTCTCACCCATGGATTTGCATTAGACTGGTTTTCGGGACTTATTTGGCACGAGAAACTTAAACTCGTCGTTAATTATTCAAAACGCCTGTTTTTTCCGAATGGACCACTAGACAAGGTACGAATTTTAGCATTCTGATACATGTTTTTTAACCAAAATTTTACGTAAAACACGATACGCACAGCGAAAATTACCGAAATCAACTCCTTACGAAGATATTTAATGATTCTTGATGCGTGAATTCAAACCACCCGCTCATGAAAACTCAATGCTCTCCGTGATTCACATCGCGCGCTAAACGTCATCATGACAGTCTCTGCGATATTAAAATCTGGCTACCTCAATCTTGACGCTTTGGCTCAGCTATAGCAAATTGCTTATAATTTGAACAACACATGGTGGAAAATTAACAGTGCTCGATTGAGAGGCTTGCTGAAACTGTTGTAGTGCGCGATTTGACTCACGTAGAGCTTTGAGTTTCTTGTCAGCGGGCAGTTCAGAATCCGCGTAACCAATGTGAAATAAAAAGATTAATATCTTTATTAGGAGTTAGTTTCAGTCATTTTCGTTGCGCGAATCGTGTTCTACGTAAGATTCTGGTTAAGAAACATGTATCAGAATGCTTGAATTCGTGCCTTGTCTAGTGTAGAGTACCTGTATACCGAGAGTATGGACAGATCGCTTCATGGAGGGCTTAGGGCCCAAAAGTGCAGCCACCCTTCTAACCAACTTCTAACGCACATAATTTCACTGCCAGTCTGTAGATTCCAATTCTAACGAAGATGGCGAAGAAAGTACTTAAATGAGCGTTCTTCCACAAAAATGAGTAAATTTATGCAAAAACTAAGTCAAATACGTGCTTTATAAACGATGGTTCGTAACAGTTGTATTGATAAATCGCTCTGGATAATTGAAATTCATAGGTTGGCTGCATTTCTGGGCCCTAACTTTATTCGCGGAGGCATCGGTGAAGGCCTGATGGATTTTCGGAGTTTCACATCTGTCTGTACTCTCGCTATACAGGTACTCTAGTCTAGTGGTCTATTGGCGGCCAAAGAATGGCGACCACTGACGAGAAATGAGTATTTGAGCCGTTTATTATCGATTTTCTTTAATACAAATGCCGAATTGAGTTTCCTCGTACCGAAAACCCGGGAGGAGCAAGTTTCACCTGAATCTTGGGAAATTTTGATTTGCAATACTTACTTCGAACTTTGACCGGCCGCCATTTTGTCAAAAATTAAAATGGCGGTTGGCGGTTTGCGGGAATTTATTTTTTAATCGTCTTTCCATTGAGGTAAGTATCACAAAAGGGAGGGATACCTACTATTTGGATAAAAAGTCAGGGTCCGCAATCTTCCTGGGAGGGACTCCCGAAAATTTCAGAGAGGCTCTAAAAGTAGCTTAAACTGATCCATGATCATGCCTATAATCTTTCCTCCCAGTTGCCGTATCATAGTAAGTTAGAAAAAAACTATTAGCTTAATGCGTAGAATAATTTCAAATGAGGCAAAAATAAAAATAAAATTAAGTAAGTAAAAAATAAATGAGCCAACTGATCTATTGTCAGGGAAATTAGTTTAATCGTCATTTCACGCGTAAGTATAACTGTTTTAGAACAATAGACAGTATATTCGAGAAAGTAAACATAGAGAAGAAGATCACTCACCTGCCTTCTGACGTAGTCTACCAACCCATCCATGCATGGCTCCATGCAAAAAGAGTGTTGGCATGGTAGTAGTTTTGGGTTTCTGTACCTGTCCAGACAGATTGCACATGTTAGCAACTGCTCAAATTGCTCCATTCTGAAATTGATAAAATGAGATGGTGTGTAAGGTATAAAAGAGGAATGGTGTCATACATCCCCACGCGAAAGTGACGTATGTGCATGTGCAGTGCACAGCCCCACGTGAGTCCTTGAGCTTTCATGAGAGTTAAAATAATTTCTGTTAAAATCGACCCACTCAGCATAGAACCTTAATACAATCTTAGTATAAAATCGAACATCTTACACATCAACATTGCAGCCATATTATGTCCATCTTAGTAAGAATGAGGTAATATTGCATCAATGTTGATGTGCTACTGCCAGGGACTTGCCTGAACATTGCAGCAACATTGATAGTGAGGTTGAAGTGACATTACAATACCTAATCTTACATAATATTGATCAACATTGTTATCAGGTTGACACTTCTTGCAATCTCCTTGATTGCCGGTCTATCATGCTTACATCAATGTTGATATTGTCAGTCTTATCCTGACAATACTGATTTAACATTCCATCCATATCATTACATCAACATATGTCAGCAAATAACAACATTGCTTTAAGATATCATGCTGAGTGGGGAAGAGTCATAAGTTCTAGCATTCTTCTTCCTATTGACAGTAAAAAGACGTGAAAAGTATACTTTCTGAAGCTCTGACACTTCATCCCAGAAAAAAGTAGGGTTAAGCACGATGACCAGTGTTCGAAACTCGCAGGTGCCAACGCGCCAAATGCGCCTAAAAAATCGACCATGGCGCCTAAAAAATGAAGGCTCTGCGCCAACGTGGCCCCTAAAAATCTGGATTTTCATAGGAAGTGACATAAAGAAAGAAAGACAAATCTATTTGAATTAAAAAAAAACTTAGAATATTCAGCACTACAAATGAAAGGTTTTTCTATGCTTCACGATTTCACTCTTAGTGCTTTTTGTCTTCCCAAAGTTACAGCTACTTATGAAAACATCTTGCGTCTAACTATTCAATAGGCAAAAAGTCAATTTAGCCCCTAAAAAATCTTCAATGGCGCCTAAAAACGGGCTTGATGCGCCACATGGCTCCTAAAACTCAAAGGTGAGTTTCGAACACTGACGATGACCTTGATACAACCAATCGCGAGTGATCGCTCTCAGCAGTTGCGGATATCTCTCTCCCACCGTGATCTATCTCTCTCGCACTTACAGATATCCCATAGGAGAAACTGGGATCAAGTTATAGCTTTTATTATTAAACTTTCAAAGCTCGCGTTTATTTCTAAGCACTCCAGACGTATGCTGCTAGAACTTATGAGTCTTAGAATTTAATAAATATCTCGTGATATTTAAAAAGGTAATCACTGATTTCGGAGCCGGATTTTAGCAGCGCGACGTGGTGGATTTTTTCGGAACTACAGCTGAAGATTCACTTTAAATGGTTCTTGTGATGGAAAAACACGGTAGCCAAAAGAATTTTGAAAAAAAAGGGGGGAGAGAATTAATCCGGCCCAACACAGAGCCTCGGTATACTTGCGATTTATTATCTTAACATGATAAGTTACAGCAATTTAATAAGGTATAATCACAAAAAATCCTTGTTTATGCGCACATGATCGGCAAAGAAAAAAGGAATAATAATATACGCCACGGAGTGTCCACGGAGGCATCATTACTATGGTGTATCAATTTTTAGGTATCTACTTGGATCCAAAAAAAAAAAATTGAGAAATCTTTTTATCAAAGATTCCGACGAAAAGCTCTCTGTAGTGTCAAAATAAATAAGCTTAGGGAGGCCGGGATAATTCTTTTTTTTGCAAATTCAAGGCAGGACGTTGCATAATGATTATGGTATCTCGTGCCCTAAACGAAGCATAGGTATTTTAATTTTTTTGTTTCAATACTGCTCTGTTTGCTGTGGCATCAATAACTCTTTGAGATTTTCTGGATTAGGTATGGCGTCTTTTTCTGTGGACATAGTCACAATTTATTTATAAACAATGTTAAACCTTCGATTATCTTTATATTTTACCTACTCAATTTACATAATCACACGCGTGGCGTTTTATTATTGTATTGTACCTACAGCTGAACTTTCTTTTCTTTACACTCTCTTAAGTCGATAAGAAGGTGGTAAAAAAGTGTTGGATCCACCCTATTTTGCAGGGCAAAGAGGACAAAATAAAGGTTCAAATACTTCAATTACCTACAGTAAAAAATGTTGAGCTCTTGTGAGTATCAGTACAATGGCTTCTGGGCCGCAAATCACGGTTGCAACTAAAATTTCTCCTCTACAATTCGATGTTGAGGCCGGTTTGGAGTTATGGTTTCCAATTGTGAGGCTGTGCAGCCAAGTCAAATCTCGACAAGATTGAAATCATGCAAATGTAAATATTAAGAAGCATTGCTAAAGCAAGATGATATGAGAGAAATGAGGATATTCGCGCTGACCTCGAGTTAGGTTAGGTTGACACCGAGACACGAGAAGGTTGACACCTTTGCAATATTGTTACATACAGTTCGGGCCACTTCTTAGTGTTTTTTTCTTTTTTTTCTTATATAAGTATATATAGTATACAAGTCTTAAAAAGACGAACAGTAAATATGGAAGATACGTGAAGGAGTTGATTTATGCTCTAAAGGAATGCCAATTTTACTAAGAATGTATCATGAAAACCATTACTGTATAGATTGTTCCTGGAGGACTTGCGAAAATTGGGTGGCTCAAGTTACCTCCAACATTCCAAAATTTTGGTTTTTCCAAAAAAAAATTGATCAAAAACTAAAATGTTCAAAATCCAATGCATGGGCATGAAAGTTGGAGGTATTTGTGAGGTTCGGCGACCGGCGAAATTATTCTGTGATTATCGATAGTCACTTTTCAAGGAGGTTATTCTCAGAGGTAGAAAAAGGGGCAAAAAATTCTAAAAACTAAATAATTTATAAAAATTTCTTATCGATGGAAAAATGTGTCTCTATACCATTGAAATTCCGCCAAGACACGCCACTATCACATCATGTTGTTGTTTTCGTTGTTTACTTTCGCGACAGTGCTGCCACAGGCAAGAGAAAAAAAAATCCCCAAACGGCTCATGTTACCCCCGAGGCTCATGTTAGACCAACTGACGGTAGTATGGAGATCAGAAAGTGGAGGGAAAATTTCGGATCTTAATTGTTGATATATGTAGGGCAAGTTATTAAAACATGTTTAACTGAGAGGGGGACATTACAAGAGATGCAGATTGGGGGTTGTATGTATGTAGGTATGTATGTATGTATGTATGGTTGGTTGGTAGATACGTTTATTTGGTGCTTTTAAAATGAGCCATATGCGGCCTAGCGTTGTTATGAAGCAAGAAAACTTGTCGGGACGAAAAATCAGGGTGTTTTCTTTTGATTGCTGATTTGAGCCTTTTTATGATATCATAGTTTCTTTCAGCATCAATGCCTTCTTCTAAGGAATCAATGAGAAACACTCACTGAGCATCCCAAAAGACGTGCGCAAATTTTGGACACGCAGTGGCGAGAGACTGGTATGGGAAACTGATGTTACTCGGCACTTAGAAAACCAAATTTAAAAAACTGAAGCTTTTTTAAAAGCTGAGAGTATGACAATTTAAACGCTTTTTACAGATTTAAATTACCTATCTTCATTGGTTTAGAAGATATGGCAGATATTAATTTACTTCACGAATACCCCTCGTACATTTTTCTCATTTTATCGTATCTAGGTACTCAGAGTAATTTTTTTTGTTTTTTTTTTCCATCCTGTTCATTTCGCGAATTTTAGAGAATTTGAGGGATTTCAGAAAATTAACAATTTTCATGAAAATCGAGCGATATATAAATAGTCAAAGACAGCGCATTGTTCTACAGATTCGTAGGTAACGCATAAATGCGGGCTGACGCGAGGTTGCATGGCGTAGCTCCACCCGGACTCGCGACCAAACTTGCCCTCTTACGTTTCCAGTTCGTCACACAAAAAAAAATGAGATGGTATCGTTATGAAGGCTATATATAGAGAATCCTGTATCCATTTTAAGGATATGATAAGCTCTAATTGCGGTGAGAAGCAAAGAATTAGGGGCGGCGGTTAAGATGATCAAAAATTAAAAAATTCACGTTTTTTTTCTTCATAATATGGCAACTTATTTAAAGGTAAACGTAAAAATGCACTTATTTTGAAATGGTCTTTATGATAGCTTTCAAACCCAACCAAAAGTTGAACAAATGGTTGGAGAGGTACAGCGCGTTTTACACGTGTGAAGCGCGCCTGGGGCCACCAGCGCGATGAGGAGATCGCGCCCCCCGGTCAGCGCGGCGGCAGGACAATTAAATGGATCCCGTAGTATAACTACTCGTAGCACAAAAATGGTCGTTGTATCAAACTGGGCGCGAGATGATGGCTCACCTTTATTATTGGAGAGAAAAAGTCCATTTCCCTGCTCAATTAAAAGTTATTTTGATTTTAACATCTTTGGAATTTTCAAAATTTCGGTTTTTTTTTCGAAAAATTTTGGGAAAAATTATATTATCAATCGGAAATTTCGTAATGTTAATAAAATCTGGACACTTTCAGCTCTTAATTAAATATGTACGAGGGCTGTCACAAAAGAAACCGGACTTTTGTCATAACAGGCGAACCAAGCGTCGTAATGAGGTTTTCTTAGGGTTATCTGAAAGCTGATAAGCTACTGAATATGCTTGTATTTACAGAATACAATACTTCATATAGGCTTGGACACTACATGCTTTGGAATAGAAGAGAGTCAAACTGGAGTTGCCTAACTTAACCTAACCTAACTCTAACTTGTTACCTAATTGAGGTAAAGACTTGAAACTTGGAGGATGTTCTCAGGTCAAAAGGAGCTACTTGTTAGTCTCCCTAAAATTTTCAGGGAGGCCCCTTTGAAGCAACGGGCCCCAAATTGTTTTCAATTTTTTACCTCCTTTGTGGTATCTCGTTCAAAAGAGCATAAAAAAAGGAAACTTGTCGCGCAAACCTGAAGTCCATGTCTCAAACAGTTCCAAAATGGCGGCCGGTTAAAGTTCAAAACGACCGAGAA